ACAGTTCTCATCGAGTTGTCCTTCAACCAAATACAAATCTCAAAGAAAACAGAACTAATATTGAATTCTTGCAGAAAATCTCACTGTTGAAGCACCTTGTGTACGGTTGACCGAATTGAATAAGACTCACAAACAACTTTATGGATACAATCTACAAATGTCAGACCATGCCTCGGAAAGAATGCAATGAAAATTGTGAATTTTGCTACACAATTGACAGCAGATATGGGCATAAAAACAAGCCTAGAGCCGATAGGATGACATGCAACAAACCTCATGGATTGGGATTGAATAATGAGCGCATTATATGATTTTCAATCCACTATCAGCGTTAAATAGCATAAATAGTTGATACATTTGAAGCTTGATCCAAAGGCAACTGGACTGGTTCAAGATTTTCTACCAGTCCAGTTGCCTTTAGATCAAGCTTGAATCTTACCATGAACTTGATGACTGAGAACCTAAACAGACGACATTGCTGACAGTTTCAAATACTATGCAGTGACACTAGACAACCAACTCAGTTATCCAACCGCAGACCAGTGACATCCAAAAAAAGAGCCATCAACGATTGTCAGCCATTCGCAAACTGATAGGACTTTATGTTGCCCCCCATATCCTCCTGCTGCTATCTCAGAGAATGATCCAGCCCATCCTAATGTACTATTCCACCTGCTTCTAAAACATGTTATTTGTTAAAAACAAGGCCAAACACAACCACAGTTCCCAGAATAATCTGTCTCCCCACACCCAACCTAACAGAATCCAACAACAGGGCTATAACACGCATTGCAACCTCAATATACCAGGACACCACACATGAACTGAACACCCACCTCACCCCACTTCCCTCAGAACGGCGGTCCAGAGCACTGAGGTGCAGAAAGCCTGATCCCTGCTGTTACAGCTGCCCTGAACAACAGGCCCCGCTGAACAGGCCAGAGTGGGAAGTTCTGATTGTTGTTTAACTTTGCTGTGCTTTGGTGGGAATTGTCTGTTGGACAGAAACGGGGCTGTGAAAAGGATTTTCCCCATGGGGACATTGAAGTCTAAAAAGTCTATATCAAGTTAAGTATAAATTATAAATGATACATATTTGAAAACTATTTAAAATCAGTATAACCTGCATGCAGACCTCCTGATGTAAAATATTGTTTGTTTTCCCTGCAATATGTGCACCTGGTGACATGTGCCTTATTAACGAGGTCAACTTTAGTAACTTTCTGTACAGTTAGTAGGAGGCCATTGCCAGGTGCAGCCCAGCAATAACAGTGAAGTAACTGTGAAGGAAGAAACCTGGAATTCAGGTGATCTAGTGTAACAAGGGTAGAGGTGTGATCAGGGGGACAGAGAGCTCAATGGACACAGGACTTTCACAAGACTCTATGGGGCCACATTATCTCTTTGCTATCCCCATTGCCGGAGAAAACCAAGGTGTGACTCTAGATGCTGAGTTCAACTTTCAAAAGCGTGTAACAAATATCTCCAAGATGGCGTTCTACCATCTCAGAAACCTATCCAAAGTTCAATGTTTCCTGTCACAGTCAGACTCTAAAAGCTGGTTCACGCTTTCATCTCCAGCAGACTTGATTATTGCGATGCACTTTTTGCTGGAGTTGCAAAAACAGGTACCGCATTATGAACTCCCGCTTATTCAGGATGCTGCTGCCAACTAAAACGAAAAAGTCAGGACACATCACTCCCATTTTAACCACTTTTCATCGGAGCAAAGAGTTGATTTTAAATACTACTTGTTCTTTTTAAATCTATGAACTGCTTCGCTCCCTCCAATGTTGTTAACATGCTGACTAAGTACACACCAGACCGGTCCCTCAGATCGTCAAATAGAGGTCTTCTCAGCATACCCAAAATGAATTCCAGATCAGCTAAGGGGGCTTTCAGTTATTATGGTCCAATTATTGGCCTCTTTATGACATGCACCAAGGTCTACTAAAACAGTGTCTCTTTGCATAAGCTTTTGGCCAAATCATTAATGATTGGAGAATATCTTGCGCTTAATTTCTATTCAAATATTTCTACTCCCTTTTTGTATGTTGCTGTTTTTTATGCATTCAAAACAAAAAGCTTGAATCTTGTGTTTTATAGTAATATAAACATTATAGTATAATGTTCTTAATATGTATATTGTCTACTTTTACTTTGAAGTACATTGAGTAAATTCATGTCTTGTGAAATGTGCTGTATAAATACACTAGACTTGACTTTCATCCAGGAGACCAGGAATCTTGGTGAATTCTGATGTCAACATTGACCGTAACAAAAGTAGACTATGCAACATAACATCTTGTACATGTCACAACTTGCATACCTATTTTATGGGGTGGAGGCAGGGTGGTCAATTAGTAAAAAAACAAACCTTCAAACACAGCGACGGTTTGAGTACCTAGCAAATCAAAAGTCATCATTGATGTAATATCAGTTATTTATGTAACGGACTACATGCAAACAATGGCCTGATCACCTACAGCCAGGAGCACCTGTTGTCTCTTGAACCTCACGCAAGAATAGGTGACCTGTTTTTAAATCTACCCAATGACTGCTCCAGACTGGCAAAGAATCAAAAGCTATTAAAGAACCCCCGGACAACAGCAGGACTTGAAACTAAAATTAAGAAACGAGGATCTGTGAAAACACAGGAAAGATGGGAGTGTGGAAGGACGTGTATGAGTGAGCTCTGCTCTCCTGCCTGTCTGTCTAAGTTATATTGAACATTGGTATCAAATATTAGTTTGGTGAAAGATGTTTAATACATGAATCGAAAGATTTGAAACTGGATTGAAAATGTAATCCCAGGAAGCCTTGGCAGCATGTTTTTGAAACTCCACGCTGCAGTGGCATTTTTTTTCTGTGTCTTGAACAATGGCAGGTGAACACACAATGGAAACGATACTCTGTGCAATTGAAGACAGCAAAAAAGAGGTTCTCCAAAATCTCCAAATAATAGACTAGAAGGTTATTCAACTTGACACCACCATGAACAACTTGGCATAGCAATACGTCGAGATGTAACAAAGATTGAGTAAAGCAGAAGACGACGTGGCCGATGCACTAAAACGCATAAATGTATTGGAGAAAAATACGGCTTCACCACAATCTAAGGTGGATTATTATGAGAATAAGAGCAGGCAGTCAAATTTATTGATCGTTGGAATTCCGGAGGGGTCCGGAATTCTGGCTCTCGGTCCAAAATTAGATAAAGAAAATATTTGGGCGTTACATTCCTTTAAATCCTCATCATTTTGTTCTTGGACTGGACTTCTGTGACCGTAGGCACCAGTACATTCTTAGAGTTGCTTTGTATGCTGCACGCCTCACAGTGTTACAGAAATGGTTTGATGAAGATCCTCCTGATATCTCAATGTGGTATGAAAAACTGATGTCCCTCTTGCCTTTGGAGAGATTATCTCATGTACTCAGAGGTACTCTTGAGGTTTTTGTAAGGGAATGGTCCCCATTGGCAATATTTCTAAAAGAGGAATGGTTCAGTGTAATGTGTATAGGAACATCAAATACAATTGAATAGAATATGAATTATTTTATATAGCTCTACTGATTGTGAAAACTGCTGTTGTTAATCTTTGTTTGTCTTTTTGTTTTGCTGTAATGTGTCTGTATGTTGTTGTTGTGGGTTGTTGTGTATTGTGTTCATTCGTTGGTCCTTGTAATTAAAACAAATACATAAAAAAAGAAAAAAGAAAAAAGAAACGAGGATCAAGAGGCATCAAAGCAAAGCAAGTGCTTCCATCAGGTCGGCGATTCAGACTGCCAAGAGCCACAAAAAATGTTTATAAAAAAGAATTTGTAGCAAATGCGATAAAATTCTTAAATTCATAAAGGAAAAAACGACCCCCTCAACTGCACATTGTTTTATGAAATTAATGTTTTTAAACCTATAACTTTATGAAATGTCATAAAACTCTGGCTTATTATTATACTAAATTATTATTTTAAATTCACGAACCATGCTGACTGTGATGTTGTCGAGGACTGGTTTCCTGCTGTGCTTGAATGTTGTCCTGTTTGTCATAATGTTTTTTGTCTTGTTCTTGTGAAGCCAAAAAAATGTTCCACTTTGTGGACAAATAAAGTTCTATTCTATTTTATTCTATGGTGATGGACGGGTCATAAAAACACAGTACATAAACCAAGGTCGTGTTTTATGAAACCCATTCTTATCTATTTTTAAATTTCAAGCACATCTTACAAAGTTGTTTTGTGGCTGACATTACCAAGTTGCAACCTTTCCATGTTAACCATTGGTTTATTTTTGTCCAGTACAGATTTGCATGCAGTGGTATGAGTAGAAAGCCTTTTGGTCTTATGGGAACAATCGACCTCACCAGTACCTCTTGTGCTCAGTTAATAACACTTTTTCAAGTATGGTAAGTGTGATGGCTACTGACCCACTGACAGGACAAGTAGAAATAAGGGGCTGTGTTATGGCAGGGTTTGGATAACATTCAGCCTGAGGTGCCACTTGTGTGGGCTTCAAAGCTCTACTCCATCTTTGATAGCCCTGATGAGTGACATTTACTGGACTGAAAAGCCCTCAGAGCTTTCATCATGAAGGGAGGGGTGGGCGGGTGTGAAATGGATTTCAATCGTGCTTACAGGGAATCGAACTGCAGCATGCGTGAATAACAAATAGCTTTAGCAGAAATGTAAACAGAAAGCCACACAAAGGGTACACACACACAAATACATTTGCAGGATAAAAGCATGTAGAAATCTGTTGTATGAAGCTTCTACTTGTATACTTGTATTCTTGGATTCATATTTACAAAATAAACCACAGTAATGCCAATCACCAACGTTTTTTTTGATTTAGCAGAAAGCCTCTGTTCAAAGCAGCAGATAATAATCAGTGATATGAACCGTAAAGAATGACAAAGACCTCAGTAAAGCTCAGAGCTTCAGTCCACGGCAGAGTTACATAACACCTCGTCACCTAGTTCAGTAAATGAATATGGATCCTTTACCTTGAGTCTTGTGTGCACGAGAGCTGCTGGACTCTGGCTGATCTTCCTTTTTAACACTGCCTCTCTGCAACGTGCGTTTGGCAGACTGCAGCCTCCTTCTAGCCAATGCTGGTGTGTTTTTTTGTATAAAAATCTGCACGGCTCAGAACTGAAGTGTTTCTTTAGCCAGCGAGTGGGAGCTATACACGCGGCATGCTCGGTGGTGTGAAATCGTTGGGGGAGAGAGAGCAGGGGAGACGGACAGAGGGAGAGGCAGAAGGGGGGGGTGGAATCAGAGGAAGGCGAAGGGGGAAGAGGGCTTTTGTTTGCAAAGGGAACTCTCCAAGGACAACCGGAGCACATCTGTGAAGTGGAGCTGTGCTGTTCAGTGATGCTGTGGGTGAAAGGACGGGAAAATAAATGTGAAGTGGAAGGGGTTGGGGGGCTTGAGATGGCTGAGAGGTCAGCAACAGGGCTGTCAATGTGGGATTTCACATCTCAGCAGATTCTTTGTTAGAAGCCTGACAACACACTGAAGCACTTTTCTTATCGAGTATTTGGAACAAGTTTGTTAACTTGATGAATTGCTCGACAACAACAATTGGACAATTCTTTAACATACAAGTTCTGAAGCATTAAAATATATGCTAGTTTGAGATTATTGAAATTAAATGGAGCTTTACAGCATGACAAATCTGTTAATTTAACATAATTTTTTGGTTGTGACCCTTACACATAAGGTAAAACATTATTCCATTTATTCATTTTGTTTTTTAAATCCCTCGGGAACAAATTGAGCCCTCACTTACAATAGTAAGAACAATAGCAGCCCTCACTTATTATTGTGAGTAAGAACAAGTGAGGTATTCAAATTGTAAGATATGTGTAATACTGTATTGCACTCTCAATACATACTCTCATAGGCATAAAGATGGATATTGCAATTATTCAATGAGGCAGTAATGTCATTAATAAAAGTGTTATTAATAGTCAATAACACTGGTCTGAGAACTGAACCTTGGGGAACTCCTTTTGCAGGTGAGAAAAGATGGCTGGACATTGCCTATCTTCACACACTGCAGCCTATCTGAAAGGTAAATTTAAAAGCACTTGCAGCTTTTTTTATTTAAACAAATTCAAGTTTTCAAGTTGTTTAAAAGCAGAGAGTGGTCTATAACCACCTATGCAATCTAATGCAATCCAATTTGAGCTGCAACACTTCTATGAAAGGTGCTATACAAATAAAGTAACTACTTATTATTATTAGTAGTAGTAGTAGTATTTTGCTGTGCGAGTATCTGTAACTACAGTGTACACATGCACAATGGCACACAAGGTAACATGATACGATAACATTATACTCGTTCTGGAAAAAACAAGTCATAGATGCAGCTTCTCCCACAGTATCTCCAATCTGTTATCTTTATATTCATTAATATAGAAAACATTGCAAAAAAAGGGGATGATATAGTAAAAAGTAAGACGAGAGTGCATTTATCTTTTTGCAATAAGATGAGGAAGATACGTTCTGCAAGAGACTTTGTGTGTGGAGGAGGCAGACGGGTTGAGGAAGGATGAATCTCGCCACTGAATAGGCAACCAAGTGTTACATAAAAAAAGCACACACACACACACACACACGTACACAAAACCAAGCAAGAGCTCTGCCTACACACACATGTTCTTTCTGTCCTTCTGGTACTCTCATCTACTCTGCATAGCACATGCACATGCACACACACACACACACACACACACACACACACACACACACACACACACACACACACACACACACACACACACACACACACACACACACACACACACAGTCTGTTGTGGGTATAACTAAGAACTTGAAGAACAATGATTGAACAAGTTACATTTAAAAATGATCTGGCTCCAATTTTCATTTAATAAAGGCTGCAATAATAAGGAGAATTCTCAGTTTGATCAATACAGTTGCATTTTTTTCTAGTACATTTACCTACAGTCCTACCGCTATGCTGGATATGCATTAGTCAACGGTTAAAAGATGCATCGTTGAGTTTATCTTACCTTGACATGTCCACAGCATCGCAGCGTATGAACTGTGCAACAATAAAATATATTCAAGTCAAATAGATCCGTACAACCAAGCATTGCATAACCTAGGTTACTCCACAGATGAAAATATCAGTTAATAGGAGGGTTATATAAATGTCATGACAAGGATAAGTCCCAGCTGGTCCATTTCTTTATATCAGCATTGGCCTTGCTGGAGCGTGCCTATGTTCCCTAAGCCCTATGTTCCCACAGCCCTATGTTCCCACAGCCCTATGTTACCACATTTCTAAGATTTTTTTCAAAATTAGGCCCTATGTTCCCACATTTAGTTTTTCATCAACTTGTATCAGATTTTATCCCCCTTTCTCCCGATTACACCCAACCTATTATCCAGTAGCAATGGACTACAGATGGAATGTAACTTTTAGTTAAATCTGGTGCGCCCATCTCTTTGTTTATTGCAAACATTTAATGTAAGTGCACATTGTCCTTTTAAATAAACAAACTAAACTAAGTAGCACAGAGGCCTCACATTGACTAGCTTCTGGTCAGATCAGTCGAATGAAGCGCAGCAACTGGACGCAAACCATAGCTTCAACATACCTCTGAAAAGCCGGGTTGGCATAGAGAGAGGGTGCTCCTGGGATGCTTTGAGTCACTTTCCGTCATAGGCTCATGGAGGAAACGTTAAGGAAGGAGGATGCCTATCTGAAAACTCCTCTGTGTCAACCTGCCAGTGTCATCAAGTCTACTGCGCTACTCTCTTGGTGAGTGTTTTTGGCACACGATATTTACATCTTGTCCTGTTTGTTGAAATCAATTGACCCTGATGGTTTGCCACTCAGTCCCGCAGCTGGGGATTTGAAGGAGAGAGCTAGCTTCTAAACTCTCTCTCAAGCTCAACACCGTTACTCCAACATGGGGTTGCTGTGGAGTGACGAACCCTCATAATGAAATCAAACTCACCTCCATGAGTTAGTGTAATTAAGACACAGCGCACATTTAACTTTCCACAGTACACATTCTAACAATCTAAATAAGTAAAACGTTTCACTATTTATGCAGTTCACTTAAAACTGGAAAGGCCTCTAGTACTTTTCAACCTTTTATGTGCCAGGAACAGGCACTCTGCAAGTGATGTCCTTTGAAGACTATTTCAAGAACAAAAAGAATACAAAGCTCAATTTACTATAAGGAGCTTCACTTTAGCAAAGGACGTGTCAAAATGATGCCAGGGAACAGCACATGTCCACAAGCCAGGGCAACTCTAAACAGCTTCCACAACACAGTGGCTTACAGCGCTCCAGTAGGACTCAATATTTCGATTGCCACCATTATACCGTCCCTTCAGTCGAACCAGTGTGGCCTCTAAGATCCTCCACTTGCGTCGCCGTCGTGGGGGTGCATCGCCTCTCTCTGCCAGCATGATGCTTTCTTCAGTCAGCGTCTGGCGATCTTTCAGGTGACGGATGAATAGCCACAGAGAGAGATGGCGCACTTGCACTGTATCATTCATCGTCCGGTGGTAAGCTAGAATTAAACAATTATAGAAAGACCAAACATTAAAATTACTTCTACACAGACATTTTGCAATATTCAACATGGTCATTTTGCAATTACTCACATTCAACATCGTTGCTCGTTCTTTGGTCCATGTGCCTCTCGAAGTCATCCCACATAACTGGTGGAAATGTGGATCCAGGGCGGATGTATGTGTTCCTCATATAGGTGATGAACTCTTCAATTGCCGGTTAGTGTCTCACAAGACGTCTACAGCGTCTGCCATTGACAAGTGTGTTAAAGTTCATCTGAACCAGAGCAAGCGGTAGGTAACCCAGTGCCATGAGTTTGCAGATGACCCGAGCAAGGGTGCGGTCTTGGTGGTAGGGAACAGCCAATCCGAGCTCTTGGATCTTCCTCCGCAGGGATTGGTTGAAATGAAAATAACAACCTCCAACCGTGGCTTGAGGCTCGTCGGATGGCCACTTTGACAGCTTGGTGTACGTGCCTGTAGTGTCCAATGGTTCTGAACAAGAACAAGAGGCAGTACAAAGCCATGATGGTTTCCCAATATGGTAAAACACTGTCTGTATGGTCGAGGGCAACTCCTAAAGGTAAATAGGGCCTAATTTTAAGAAAAATCTTAGAAATGTGGGAACAGAGGACTGTGGGACCATTGGGCTGTGGGAACACAGGGCTGACCCCTTGCAAAGCTGAAGGCTGTTTAAAACAGAAGGTGAGCCTTTTTTTTAAACTAAGGAAGCACCTTAAAACAAAAATGTGGTCAGAGATGTTGTTATAAACAACAGCACTCTGTCCCAATTGAGGGAAACATCCTTTGAAGGACCCATGGACTGTAAATATAAATGGACAAAGCCTGAATCAGGTCAGACACACGCCTTACTATGCATTACATGTATTGTTCATGAAATCAAAATGGCCATGTTATAGAAAAAAATCACACCCCGTACAGTTGTCAGTCAAGGCAGAACTGAAATGAGACGGTCTGGTCTAACTTCTTGCTTGCGTCACCAGCTGTTCCCGCTTATATTCTTAACTTACTGCTCCTGTTACTTGGTAACGTCAACAGCTGCACCAGAACTAGTTAACATAACAAATGTGCCATTACTTCACCTATTAGTGTAAGACTTATTCACAAGTTTTAAGGCCCTTTTCTTTTGTTCAAACATTTTATCGCTAGCTTTTCGGCTAAGGTGAAACCTATAACTTAAAGCGCAGTCATCAGCCAGTGAGATTCATTGCGCACCATTTAATTTAAATGGAGCGAAATGAATCTCTGGATTGGTGGGCCATCAGGGGAAGCATTCAGGAAATGTAGGACACATTTGTTGGCTGCATTTGAAGGGAGCCTCTTGAAATGGGATAGCCTTCAAAGCGTCTTCAAATATACCCTTGGAAGGATGTAGCCCAGGAACTGGGACACAGCCAAGTTTACCACTGTCAGGATAAATCACAAAACTTATACAAGAAGCAAGACATGAACCTTGAAAAACCAAAGTATCTTACATTTTTAAATATTGTCTTTTATATAAAAGTAAATAATGAGGTATAGGAACAGATTCAAGTTGTAATATTATGTATTGACGACCCTGGGGATAAAGCACATTATTTCTGATTCTAATGGCAACATGAGGAAACTTGATCCTCTCTGAAAATGTGAACAGGAAAAACAACCCAGAAGTACATCATACAGTACATTTCAGGAATAGCAGTTTACATCACAGTG